TTTCTAAGAGAAGAAAAGTTTTGAGTCCCCACCTTTGTCATTCATTTGAAACCATTTTGGGTTATCCATCCTCATTGCCCTTTCCAGGTTCTTAATTGGGATATCTCAGTGGCTCTCCATGCATTAACACGTCCACCTTTTTAACTTTTGGGATCATATTCACTATATCATCTTTTGTTTACAACATATTTTCTTCTGTTATTGGCTAGAGGGTATCAATGTTCAAATCTGTTTGCACTTCATGTTCACAGGACTCTGTACCATTCCAACTACATTCTGTTCTACCTAAAAATGCAGCAGCTAGGGAAGGAGATAAGTCTTTCTCTCCTATTCACCATCCCACCATTTTCCACTTATACAACCATTTGTTTTTATGCCCTGTTCAGGCTCTCTGATGTTATGTGGACACACTAAAGCATCTTGGGGCTCATATCACTGGTTATTCATCCATTGTGATCCTTTGGTATCATGCAACTTATCCCCTGTCACTTTGACAAGTTGGATTTGTTAGTTGGTTCAGATAACTTACTCTGGTTTTTCTTTGGAGGAGTAGAGACTTTTTAGAGACTCATCTCCTCAAGTTCAACATATATCAATGTTCCTGGCAGCTTGGTTGTGTCGCCCATTAGTGGGAATTGTACAGGCTGGTATGTGGACCACACCTTCTTCCTTTATATTGCACTATTTACAGGATTTAGCAGTCTCTTTCTCAGATGGGTTTTGGTTACCCCTGGGCCTGTAATTCAAAGTTTGGTTTCTTACATTTTGTGCTTCTTCAGGTTGGAGGAAGGGTTTGTCCACTTAGGTGTTTCTTGCCTTCTTTTCGTAATTCTGGTGGCTTGACATGCAACATCCTGAAACTTTCAGGTTGGGTTCTCTTCATATCATATTCCAATTATATCATATAACAGTCCCTCATGCTCTAGCCATTACAACTTGGATCTAGCTTTGCATCCACAGCCCTATAATTACAATGATCAGACATGGTTGGGGCCTGGATAAATCTCCCGATAATGAACGATATTGACTCTGTAGCCGATTGGCCTTTACCACCCATGTTTAGATTTCACTTTATGTGGGCAAAGAGCATACCTGTTCCACAAGTAGTGCATATCCCCACTAGTGTACTTTATTATATCTCAATTTTGCAAATCTGTATTTTTACGCAGATGCTCTCTGTGTGGATTTTGCCCTCACCGGTCCCTCCACCTGGTCAATTTGGGATTGTAGCTAAAGTGTGAGAGGAGGTGAGTCTTTTTCGAAAGTTTACATTTTCCTATACTGAAAATGTATTTCAGATAATACATATCTCCTCTTCACTATCCCACCCTTCCTTCCTACAATAGCCATTGTTCTCATTTGATAATCTTGCCAGTCTCAAAAAAGTGAATAAGAAAGAATAATTGGGAGCTTATATATGGATCGAGTATATAAATATATAGATCGTAGGTGGAGAGAGTCACAAGTTTAAAATCACTAGGGTGATATAGCGAGGTGACATTCATACCAATGCTTAGATGGGCAAAGAAGAGAACCTTTCGTTGGGATAAAGCTAGGGTGTGAGAGGAGGTAAGCATTATAGGAAATACATTTTTGGTATGAGAACATGTAAACTTAAAATTAATGACCAAAGTTTTTGAATACTATGCAATTGACTGCATACAAGATTACAGAAAATCTACACTGGAAATACAAGGCCATCACCATATTGCTAGCTATCATGTATGCAGTATATTTCCATCTGTGGACATGTTTGAGTAGATTTCTTACATCTGTTGTCACACCAAAGTAGGAAATCAAAACTTGCAAAACATACAAATTGCCTTATTATTATTAATAGAATCAAAGTATTTCCACACGCTTACTTTTTGAAAGAACAATGATACAAACAGTGAAAGAACAATGATACAACTCAAGCATGTAATTTTGCAGAGTGTGTGAATGTCGAGTGGACATTGTCTGTTTTAACATTAGATGTAATCAGAGTCTCATGTAGTACAGACTATTACCATTTCCTAACTGTTTTGCAGTCTATATATGCTTTAGACTGAATTTAAGCAGAATACTCTGGTACTTAATTTCTGCTTCAAGCAAGTTCTCTAGAATATTTAAAGGTGGAGTATGGTATAATGCTATTTAATATTAAAGGTAGAGTATGGTGTATTACTATTTAATATGAAAGGTGGAGTATGGTGTATTACTGCTTAATATTAAAGGTGGAGTATGGTGTGTTACTGTTTAATATTAAAAGTGTAGTATGATGTATTACTGTTTAATATTAAAGGTAACGTATGGTGTATTACTGTTTAATATTAAAGGTAGAGTATGGTGTGTTACTGTTTAATATTAAAGGTAGAGTATGGTGTATTACTGTTTAATAAAGGTGGAGTATGGTGTATTACTGTTTAATATTTAAAGGTGGAGTATGGTGTATTACTGTTCAATATTAATGGTGGAGTATGGTGTATTACTGTTTAATATTAAAGGTGGAGTATGGTATATTACTGTTTAATAAAGGTGGAGTATGGTGTATTACTGTTTAATATTTAAAGGTGGAGTATGGTGTATTACTGTTTAATATTAATGGTGGAGTATGGTGTATTACTGTTCAATATTAATGGTGGAGTATGGTATATTACTGTTTAATATTAAAGGTGGAGTATGGTGTATTACTGTTTAATATTTAAAGGTGGAGTATGGTGTATTACTGTTTAATATTTAAAGGTGGAGTATGGTGTATTACTGTTTAATATTTAAAGGTGGAGTATGGTATATTACTGTTTAATATTTAAAGGTGGAGTATGGTGTATTACTGTTTAATATTAAAGGTGGAGTATGGTGTATTACTGTTTAATATGTTTGGTCCCAAACAATTTCACATGCTGTTGACTCCATAGCCAAGTAACTGAGACAAATTGTTATTAAGGGACTGAAGATTATCTGTCAGATGAGGTTTTGGTTTTGAGTAGTTCAGCCTTTATTACCATAAACTTCAGAGAGTGGGTTACAGTTAACGGACATTAAGACCAGGAAGCTCATTGCAGCATTGAAATGAGTGTTGATAAGTGCACACATGCAAAGAGAAAACTTAGCTTACCACATAAATAATGTTAAAAAGTGTATAAAAGCAATTCATCAAATGTTGAATCTATAATTAATTACAGATTAATATAAATATATAATTATAAATCAATTAATTATGAGAGAACTAATTTTTAGAAATAATACCTTGAACATATTCTCCTCAGAATAAGGTAATATTAGGACAATTTTGGTTAAGAAGCTTGAGCTAATTGAAGTTGGTAAAAACTACTTGTTGAATGGGTTAGATAGGTTAGTTACTTGAAAGCTTGTATCTGAAGTTAGGACTTGAAATTTAGGTGTCACAGTTATGAAGTGTTTTTTGTTCTTCTTTTCACTTATTTGAAATTTATGTAGTATTACTTGAGTTATTTCACAGAATACAGTTCGAAAATTGCTAAACAAACTGATAACAACAGCTAAGGTAAAATGTACTTCAAAACTATAGTAGCTGGACAAATTGTGAAATGCTACAGTTAAATTAGCAATTAGATTAAACATAATATACCTAAAAAATACCGAAAGAAAGATAGTTAATTGGAAATATGATTTAGTCAAATATTAAAATCCTGGAATAACATATAGGTTTGTTATAAATTTATTAGTCCTGACATACCATATAGGTTTGTTATAAATTTATTAGTCCTGACATAACATATAGGTTTGTTATAATATTATTAGTCTTAAAATAACACATAGGTTTGTTATAAAGTTATTAGTTCTGAAATAACATATAGGTTTGTTATAAAGTTATTAGTTCTGAATTAAAATTAGGTTTGTCATAAAGTTATTAGTCCTGAATTAACATATAGGTTTGTTATAAAGTTATTGGTCCTGAAATAACATATAGGCTTGTTATAAAGTTATTAGTCCTGAAATAACGTATAGGTTTGTTATAAAGTTATTAGTTCTGAAATAACATATAGGCTTGTTATAAAGTTATTAGTCCGGAAATAACATATAGGTTTGTTATAAAGGTATTAGTCCTGAAATAACATATAGGCTTGTTATAAAGTTATTAGTCCTGAAATAACATATAGGTTTGTTATAAAGTTATTAGTCCTGAATTAACATATAGGTTTGTTATAAAGTTATTGATCCTGAAATACCATATAGGCTTGTTATAAAGTTATTAGTCCTGAAATAACATATAGGCTTGTTATAGAGTTATTAGTTTGGAAACATCATATAGGCTTGTTATAAAGTTATTAGTCCTGAAATAACATATAGGCTTGTTATAAAGTTATTAGTCCTGAAATAACATATAGGTTTGTTATAAAGTTATTAGTCCAGAAATAACATATAGGTTTGTTATAAAGTTATTAGTCCTGAAATATCATATAGGCTTGTTATAAAGTTATTAGTCCTGAAATAACATATAGGCTTGTTATAAAGTTATTAGTCCTGAAATAACATATAGGCTTGTTATAGAGTTATTAGTTTGAAATAACATATAGGCTTGTTATAAAGTTATTAGTTCTGGTGATAGAGTATTTGTGTTGATGAGGTTTTTTTTATCACTAGTTGGATCCAGGATATATATATATATGTGTGTGTGTGTGTGTATTCAGTATTCCTAGGAAATGCCCCTAATTTCTTTATAGTAATTTTAAATTCATTTGAAAATTGTCTTGATTGTGTGGGGTTGTTTGATAAGTTGTTCTGCTATCAGAATCAGACTTTAAAATAATATGTCTGGAAGATACAATTAACTCTTGAGTGATATATATTTATGTCCACAGCAAAATTCAGTAGGTATGTCTAGTATTATTGTGTTATACATTACTGGGCACCACTGTGTGCAGTACATGACTCGTGGTGAAGGATGTGTGTAGAATGAATTTGTTTGCTAAACTACAGTATGTAATGTTTTTTAGGCATATGAAATGAAATGTAATTAGTTTTTTACTTTATTTTAGGCTTAAACCCACTACAAGAATTTAATTAAACCTCATCGTCACTTATCAAATTTCATTCATTCTTCATTATGAGTAAAAATCCAGGGTCAGGAAAGAACATATTGAACTTAAAATTACCTCCTGGCTCAATTGAACCAGTAGAATTGTCTGGAGGACCTGACATAAATGAGTAAGTATTTCAAATGATTTTTATTTTTTTACTAAGAATTTTCTACTCTTAGTTGATATTAATTATCTCAAAGTGTCTTTCAGGTTTCTTATTCTCTCAATATGTATATATGTCTTACATCCTAAAACATTTTTTTGGTTTGATAATTTATATCCCTGAAAAGTAGGTGGTAGAGTTCATAGCTATATTTGTATTATAAGGGAGCATTTCTTAAGTAATTGTTTTTATTTGGGAGTTAGCAAAAACTATTTACAGAAGTTCACAATAGATTTGAGGAGTGGATCATATAGCTTCTTATTGTACACCAGAAAAAAAGTGTTGGAACTTCTCAAGCCATACCTTTTGATTTATATGATACTAGCTGAGTTACCCGGCGTTGCACGGTGAAAATTTATATTTGAAATGTATAGATCAGTATTTTTTTCAGCAAGTAGACAAAAGCTGTGATGCGAGAAATAAAAAAAGCATTTAATCAAACAAAGCTTTATTTGAAATTAGATTGTGTTTGAGCTTATCTTGTTCTTTGAGCCTGAAGTCGTACATCATGTTGCTCCTATGTTTCTTGCTCTCTGTAAGTTATTTGTCTTAATTTTTGTACTTGAAGTCTGGTTTGACATTGTTCAGAAGTCTCTTGTTGTTTATATCCAGCTTGCCTTGATGATTCTGACTGCACTCTGGCTTTGTGCTGTTCAACAGTTTCTTGCTGTCTTTGAGTAGGCTGCCTTTCAGCTTGAGCTCAAAGTCTAACTATACGTTGTTCCAAAGTCTCTTCCTGTATTTGAGCAGCCTGTACTGCAGCTTGT